GGGCGGTGCCGGGGGGCAGGGCTGCTGCTCTTCCGTCTCCGCTGCACTGGGTGCTGGGCAGCCTCAGCCGCCTCCTGCCTGTGGCCCCGATGGTGGGCTCCAGTTGCGAGGCACACTAAACGTTTCTATTCGCTGTACTTACTGCATTACACTGCTGGAATGAGTGACGGAGCCAGTTGCTTTGATTTCTGCTGTGCTGAGTGCCCGTCTCCGTCAAAAGCATGCGACGGTTTCTGTTGACTCTTCTGTGCTCTCTCTTGTTTACCTCTGCCTGTTCAGCCACCTAAGAAGTGCCTTAATCCAAACTAGAAACAGTCCAGCTTTCAGTGATCCCCAAGAAGCAAGTGTATGCCTGCAAATTGCATTGAGCAACACTTTGCTCACTGAAGACCCAAAGCACCTGAAGGTGTTGGGAGACTATGGATAAAGCACAGCAGCAGCCTGCCTTCATCAAAGATTAGGTCTTTGCATCATGTTTCATACTGACAGTTCTTGAAAACACAGATGCTAATGTGAAACTCTGGGATGTTGCTTACATCTGGAGCTTGCCACAGTCCCACAATGGTGGTCAGTGTCTTGGGTCTGCATAATCCACCTACATTAGTATCTAGGCCCTATAGGCACAGAGCCGGGTGAAAGCCTTTAGTGACTGACATATCCTAAACTAGATAGTTTAGTGGCCTAAAGACATTTTAATGACTTTTATGCCTAGAAAGCTCTCTTCAGTCTGTCCTTCTGTTAAAGCAAATTGAAGTTTGAGAAGTTTCAGGCCAGCATGTTGACATTTTTCTCTAACAGAAGTCCCCTGCATAGTGCTAAATTTTTTATTTCTCCTGTACAAAACTTGCCATTATTATTACAATACATCATTGAGCCATAGAATCTGACAGACACTATTGTGCCTTGGTGGCTTTGTTTCTCCTTCACCAGCCAGTGAGGTTCCTTCCTCATCCTTGCACTCCACCTTGTGATCAGGGGAACACGGATCGGTGTTTAAAGGGAGCAGGCGCAGGGGCTTGGTGAGGAACAAGCTGCTGCATCACACCAGTAACAGGCGTATTTGCATGCATGCAAAGCTCAAATCTTCACAAGACACCAGTTTGTGTAAGGTGAATTTTAACCTGTTAGAAATGAGAGCTTCCTCTACAGTACAAATTGAGGATTTATGTACAGTACAATATCTAGGTTGGCTGCTGTCTGATCAGTGGCTGGTGAACTGAGGCCAACCCCATCAGTCTGAGCTTTGTTCTGAGAGATGTAGCAGGGTGGCACTCTGAGAATGAAAATGTATGCTTAAACTCTGGGTTACATTTTAAAAGCTAGATTATATGACTCTAGTTCTTCTACACTGTCTCAAAAGTTTTTATTTTAGTTGGAACTTAGCTTTCTTTGAAGCAGACCTCCTATCAGCATTACCAATGAAACTTTCAGTTTTGCCATTGTCGAATTCCCGACAATCCGTTTTATTTTGAAAGTGCCTTCTTTTAATCTAACATGCTCTATTCAGAATACTGTTCCAATTGCATAATGTCCATTTTTGACCTAAGTTACATTTTAGGAGCTTCTGTATCAGACAGGTTGGGCTGATCAGCTAAGGACATAGTTCAGACAAGCACTGGTGTGCTAACTTGCAAATTTAGGGGAAACAATTAGGATTTAAGAGGGGGAAATCTTTGCTCCTGTGAGATCACCTTTTTTGTCAGACCAGGTGTTGAACTGTCAGTGATAATAGCTATATTAAGGAGGTTTAGAACAATATAAAAGTGATTATGACACTTAGTGGCTGGCTCCATGTGCCACCAGTAGTTCAGCTATGTCACAATATCTCATTTCACAGAACACAGCAATATCATTCAGTGTATTTGTTCTAATTTTGGGTATGTCATAAAAGGATTGACTAACCTTTTGTTTAGATGCAAGCATTAGGATGATCCACCTGTGTTTTTTATTAGCATTTTAAATAGAGAAAAATGTCTTTGTTAAATGTAGTAAACTTGTAAATTCTTTTTGTTTAGTTACAGATCTCTCCTGAGGATCATCCCAAAATGACCTGCATAATTCAGCTTAAATTTAATTTTCAATGCAAGTTACAGACTAGTGACACCTAGCTGAAGGGAGGAGTACTTTGAATATGCATAATCTTTTATTTTCTATGTGTCTTCATATTTCCATGTGCAATTAGATATTTGCATTCTGAACTATGTTTCTTGACAGTAGTCCCAAAAGCTGTGCAGTACAGCTTGTATATAAAATACACAATCTATACTGCAAAGTTACTATCAGAACTGAAAATAAAAGAATGTTTAAAGTTTCAGGTCCTGATGCAAAGATCTTTAAGATGTTGCAAAGTATTAAACATAGTTCACCTGTCTTCCAAGTCCTTTAAGATACTGGGCAGGTAGATTCTGTTCACCTCAGCACTGCATTCACCTTTAATGACACAATGCCAGGAGATACCATAACCCTGTTGTGTTCTGGAGTCACTGTTTTGACCTTAATAAAAGGAACACTTGGTAACTGTGTTGCTTAATCTTCTAACAAAAAAACTATTAGAAGATGCATATCTCTGGATCTTGTAGCTTACGTAAGTATTAACATAATTTTTTAAATGGAGAGCCTTGCAGAAAAACAGGAAGATGTTATTTTAATTAACCAAAAATAGTTGTAATCACTCTTAGACTCTTTATCAATCCTTAACATCTGCATTTAATATTTTCTTCTAAACAAAAATACAGATGTGATTGTGTAGCAAATGACAGTCCTTGACAACCTTTTCTTACACTTACTTTAATTCTATTTTGGTCATTAATACTTGACTCATTACTGCAACGTGTTACTTGTAGTAAAAGTGCCACAATTGAACTACAAACATGACATTGCCATTGTAAAATTGTTTTGCTATAAACTGTAGAGAACATACAGTTACAAAGTCATTGTTTTTATCAAAATATACAAACCCTCCCAAACCTAACACAAGCTATCAATATTTTTCTTATGAACTATACAGTTATATAAAATATTTGAAAAATTATATTTATATTTATAAATCTTCTACCTTATTTGCTTTGGTCTGTAATTATCATCACACAAGTCCACTTAGAAAGTATCTTTGTGTACTTCCTTTGAAATATACTTTTCCTGTGTTTATTCTTCTATTATCTTTGCTTAAATGGAACCAAAGCTGTCATGAAACCAAAATTTCTCAAGGGGTTCATAGCATTCACCAATGATAGAATAAAGAAATGGACTATATTATTACTTCAATCAATATTGTATTATCATTTCAATTGTTGTTTTACTGTACCCAAGCTATAGTTTCTTCTAAAATATTCAAGAAAATGAAGTAAACAAACTGTGTACCATATTTGCATGTAGAATGAAGATGAGGGATCATGAGCCTTTGTCCTGACAATTTTTTAACACTTCAGATGAGTACACATGACTATTTGGAAATGCAGAAACAATGCAACAGAGTCCTATCACAAAACGCAACTTGTAGACACAACCTCTTTGACTTCTAAAAAAAATCTCTTAATTTCAGTTAAAATTAATCACATTTTAATAAAATAACATTAATTGTAATATTTTGGTGACCTCTTTCAGAAGCCTTTACTCCCGATTTTTAGCAAACTGTGAAGCTGTAGCTGTAGCACGATGAGGGAAGCAGGAAGGCCAACACTCCTTCCTCCAGTGAACCATCCCCGGCACCTCTCTGCTCTGGGCCAACTGTGCTGGGCCGAGACACCCTGTGACAAAGCTTGCCTGGTGCCAGATGCTGGCACGGTGAGGGGGATCACTGCAAAGGGATACATAAAGGTTAGATGTTGTATTTAAGGCATGGGGATGACAGGGAACCCCACAAACTATCCCTCTCTATACCTAGGGGTTGCCTCAGGGATATGTATGGAAGCAACAAGCTGAGCATTGACCTCCTCCTCCCAGAATCAAAATATTTATGGGGACTTGCTCTGTCATTTGTTGTTCAGGCTTTATTCCATTCCGAGGAGGAAGATTTTGTCCAAATCTCCTCTTCTGCTGAGAAGAATGACATTTCTAGAAGACAACAGTTGAAAACCCACCAGTAGGTGGCCATTCATATACAGGATTTCTTTAAGCGAGGCTTTTCATGACAACAGTTTTCTTTAGACAAATGCACCTGAATAGCCCTACCAGGCCACTGACATTGGGATTTATGCAGTTTGGAAGACTGGCTATTGTGAGTTCCACTTAATTTTTATTAAATGTCTCAGAGATATTATAAATCTGGAATACTTTCCACACAAGCACTCAGACGTAATGGTTATTATGGTAACTACAAGACTGGATATAGAAAGGAAAAGAGGTTTAAACTCCTGAATATGTTTGGTAAATGTTGAGTTACAGAAAAGCATGCCAGAACTGTACTTCAGCATACTCACGGTCATGAAACATTTCCCACATTCACTTTAGAATATACTAGATTACAATGATTTTGTTTATAAACACATTACTTTTTTGTTAAAAAATGTAATATATGGTTTCTGCAGCAAAAACTCCTTCTAGAGAGTACACTGTGAACTTATATATTTATTTTGCCTAGAATAATTCTGACTCAAAAACAGCACTGCAAAATAGTTCAGTGACTGGTTAGCTGCAACACTATGTAAAAGGGTTTTGGTTGGTTTTTTTTTTTTTTCTTTCTCTCTCTCTGTTAGAAGTCTATTGTGGCAAAAGTATTTGGGGTCTTTTATATTAAGTTTGTATTATTGCAAATACTAGTTTTTCTTTTCTGTGTTATTTTTCTTTCTTTTGCATATAGTGACACATTTAGATGAAGAAATTTGGTCTTAGTAAATGAGACTGATTTGAGTAGAGACGTTTTCCCATTCAATGCACATATATTTTCTTTATTACATAGTTTTGGACTTCTCTTTTTTACAACTGTAACTTAGAGTATAACTTCTGGCGTTACATTTTGTGTATTTTTCACTTCACTTCCTTCTGAGCCAAGGAAACGTCGATTTTCCAAAAGTTTAGTGCTTTCATTGCAAAACTGCTCTTTTCTGTCTTGTGGACCTGGGCTTTTGAATAGATGTTTCTTCTGGTGCATTCCCAGAGCAGCTGCTGTCTTGCAAATTTTGGGGCACTGAAAGCAAGCGTATCCTTTTCCATTAAGCTCACGTACGTGCCTTTGCTCGTGGTTCCTTTTGGTAGTAAGATACAAGAAGCTCTGAAAGCAGAACTGACAGTGGTAGCATTTTTCTCCAGTATGAATTCTTTCATGCATTTTAAGTGTTTTATTTAAGGTGAATGCCTTATTACAGTATTGGCAAACAAAGTCTTTGACTCCCAGATGAATACGTTCATGTTTCTGTAGATTTCCAGGAACTGAGAAGCATTTGCCACAGGTTTTGCACGTGTAGGGCTTTTCCCCAGTGTGACACCTCATGTGCATTTTTAAAGTGGATGGACTTTGAAATTGTTTTCGGCATAATTCACACATGTAAGGCTTTGAAGTAGTTACATGCCAGTGTACGTGCTCCTGAATTTCCGCAGTGGAAGACTGATCTCCTTCACAGAGCTCACAATGCAGATCAGGCATGTCTGTGTTCTCCTGACTGATGACCTTTTCCTCAGCAGTGTTCCTCAGTGCATACTCTCGAATGCACGTGTTATGGCTTTCCATAATGGTGTTCTTGCTTCTGTGCTTTTTCCTCCATTTGGTCTTTTTAATTTTTCTTAGCTGCTTTGATTTCTTTTTTGGCTTGTAATTGTAATAGGGTCTCCAGGGTTTATCACTGGAGTCCTGGTCACTTACATCATCGCACACTTCTGTCAGCTCCACGGGTTCTGAGCTGCAGAGCCTAGATGGGCTTCTTTCTTTCACCTCCATTTCTGGTTCCTCAATTAGATTGTCCTGTTTGGACTCGTGTTTAGATTTTCGTCCCCTTTTACAAAACAGCTTAGATCCTAATATGTGTCTTTTTACAATAGCCTCGTTGCCAATTTTTACTGTTATTTGACAAAGAGGTGCAACATTGCTGTCAGTAGATGTTCCGGGTAAAGCAGGCTTTGCAATGTATGTTTCAGTTTTACTCAGTTCTTGGACAGTATCTGTTGTTTTGCTAGATGAAACTCCAGATTCTGTGACATGCTGTGTAGCCTCAGTAGTTTCTGCTCTGTTGTACAGCAGTGTTTTCTTTTTCTCCTTAATAGTTTTTGATTTTGTAATGCACTTCCCATAATTATCTGACCCATGTTTACAATCATCAGTTACAGACCGACTAGGTGGATTATCTGAAGATTCTGTCTTATTGTTTTCTACTGGAGTGACTGTTTTACTGTGCATTATTACTGAAGAAACTCTGCTACTGTGCATTATAACAGAGGGCACAGAACTGCTGTAACTGATGACCGAGGTGGAATTTTCATTCACCTTGGTTAAAGGTACAACTGAGGACTCCTCAGAACCAGAGTCATTTGCAGCAGCAGCAGCAACTCTTTTTTCACCTGTGAAAAAGTCCCTCTGCAGGTCAGAATTTAGGATACCTACTTCCCAAGAGGAAGAATTCTGAGTGTTTGTGGAAGATGTACCATTACATGAAGATGTATCCAAGGCAAGAGTTCTGTTGTTTGGTATAATATTACTTTGAAAATTCAGTGGTGGCATCTCAGAGCTAAAAGAACTCGGAATGAAACAGTTAGTAGAAGCAGTTTCATTAACCTGGCTACTTGTCTGAACATTTTCATATGAAGAATTTTGGTAGGACTTATAAGGTAGTCGTCTGCACTTCATAGGTAAAAGTCGATAGAGTTTGTATGGGTACATACTCGGTTTCAGGCCACCATTGGTTGCCTTTTTATTTACCGAGAGACGATGGTCAATTGCATGGAAAGACTTCTGATGATTTTTTAGTATATAGTAAGTCATAAAAGTCTCCAGGCAGAAAATGCACTGGTACCGTCGTTCCCCGGTGTGCCAGATCTCATGCCTGGTGCGGTACTCCGCCAATGCAAACACTTTATTGCAGTAGTGACAAGGGTATGTTCTTCTCCAGGAATGCACATTTGCATGTCTGCGAAGGCTGGACAATGTTACGTAACTGCGCTTACAAACGACGCAAGTATATAATATCTGCCCATCAACTACTTTAACCAAATGATCTGTTTCTGGTAAAGTGCAGTTTGCATTAGAATAATCAGTGATGCTGTTTTCAGAAAAGAGAGACTCTGTGTTTGCATATGAACTTCCATTCCTTCCATCCGTAGCAGTATAGTTATCTGCAAAGTTTTGTTCCTTTCCATTGTGAGCTGGTAAGCTACTTGAACTCACACAGGCTTGTTCGTGACTTTCCAGTATACTTAGATTTGCAAATTGTTTGCTGCAGTATTTGCATATGAAAGTTTCCTGATGCTCTGAATGGAGCTGAAGATGAGTACTGAGTAGTGTCCTGTCATTGAATGATTTTGCACAACAGTTGCAACTGTAAACGGGTGGAACAACAGTTGCCACAGATCCAGAGGCATTAGCAGAATTGTTTCCCTGTTCCCTGGATAAATGGAGATCTCCTGCTTTATCTTGAGGTTCTGGAAAGGAAGTAATTGACTCCTCAGTAACCGCTTCATCTCGGGCTTCTGTAGTGGTTAAGGTAGAGGCCGGTACCTTTGCTGTAGCCAAAGCAGTACCCTGGGGCTTAAAGGTTTTCTTAGGAGTACTACATGCTTGTTTTCCTGGCTGAATGAGTGGTGTGGCTTGGAGATTTTCATAGTGGTCTTCACTCGTGTTGTATGAAGGGCTGCTGTCCTGTTCAAGAAAAGGTGTTGCTTGAAAAGTATCTCCCCCAGAGGAGACTGCATAGGAGTGTTCGGCCAGTGTGCTGGCTGGCTCAGCATCTTTGCAGATGTTGTTTCTGTCAAGGCTGATGCTGGGAGCTTGTATCGTCTCAGATACCTTTTTAAAGTTTGCCCTCAAATCAAGTGGAGAAAACAAACTGGTTTCGGTTTCAAAAATTGAGAATGCGTTTGTAATTCTTGGTCCATTTGTCACAGTAGAGTCTTCATGTCTCTTTTCATGTTTTTCCTCCTTGACAGTGCCTTTTTCATTAATACAGTATGCATAGGGGCAGGGGGAACTTGAAAAATTAACATCTGTCAGATCTTCTAGAAATGATATCCCCAGTTTTTTCCCTGCAGCTGCAAGGTCCGTTACAGTCTCCTGCCTCTTGACGACGACTGTGGAACTGTAGATGTAATTCAGTATTTCTGTAAATACTTCAGCTTTGAGATCATCTAACTCCAGTACATGACCTGAAATACAGATAGTACGACTCCAAAAGATGTTTTTAAAGTAAAGGCTTGAAGCTGCCAGCACATTACTATGGGCTTTAAATTTGGTATCTTCCACAATTATGGTGACATCACATAAAATACCCCGAATGCGCTGTTCATTTAAAATAGAAAGTACAGTGTCACTGTGGAAGTCGTCCTTGAGATCTTTTGAATGGGACATGACTGTCATCTACAAGAAAAAGAAAAGAAAATGTAAATATATTTAGAAGGCTTTTTTTTTTTTTTCAGGCATCAACTTTTAAGAATGAGTAAAATTTTGTCATAGCATTTCAGGATGAAGACATCTTAGACTGACTCATGACAACAACACTGAAGGTAGTCTATGTAGAGGTCAAGGACATAGGAACACCAGTAGCTCCTCAGCAGGAGGCAGAAGATCTCTGTCCTCACACGGGTCTGTCACCCACCCTGTGCCTTTTGCTGCAGACTGCAGCTGGAAGCTTTCCCTTGTGCCAGTGGGTGCATCTTCCTAGGTTCACACTGGATGTCCAATTGGACCCCTGAGGTAAACAGTGATTGCATTTTATTAGGTAAGTAGTTTACACTTAGTTTAAAATGACTGAATCTTCATAAGTTACTGAATTTATAAATTCAATGAGTCAAAGAAGTAGAGACAAATAGAGTTGTTGTTCTTCAGTTCTAGTTTGGTGTTCATACTTTATAATTTGATACTGTGTTCTTAATTTCTACCAAATAATACTTAATCGCAATAGTAAATACTATTAAATAACTGCCAATTTATAATAATGAGGTTTAAAGCTGACAAAGAAGTCTAGATTAGCCAGGCTGTTACCGTATGAATATAAGTTTATTTAATTGAGACAAAAGATGCAAAACAAATTTAAAAATAGGCTGAAAAAATGGATTGACAACACACATCTGAAGAAAACCTGACTTAACCAGATGATTCGTTTCATTCAAATTCATAACTGTACCGTATAATGAGGTTTGTTACTTTTTTCCATCTCTTGAGTATTTTTCAACTACTACTGCTCATTTTTGACTTCAAGCCATGAAGAAACAGTCCTACTGGCACTTGCCAATCGCTACAGTAAAAAATACCAAAACCTGTGTGTTTATTAAAGACTCTTCTTGCAACTTGTAGAATCAAAATGTACCTTAAAGAAGCTACTACAGATATTTTGTTAGACAGGTTGAAATAGTACACACCTTAGTGTTAGAAGTTAGGAATACCTTCTAAACATACTATCTACTGCTCCAAATTTAATGTTGAGCTTGAAAATTTTGATATGGCCCTTACCCTTAAGCAGTTTGCATTAAAAATCCCAACAAATTTATTAAGATGGGTTGACGCAAATGGTGAAACGCAGGTTTGACCCAAATTCACTAAACAAAGAACAATGGTCATTTAGAACACGCTGGCTCTTTCAAGCCATTCAGAAGTGATCCTTTACTGAAAGCAGGGTCTTGATCACAGAGTAACATGGGACGTACCCCTTGCTCTAGCTAACCTAGTTACACTTCGGACACTTTACCACAAATCCACCAACTACTTCACTGCAAATCAAATCATACAAAAAACAATGACAACCTTACTGCGAAGACAAACACAATGTACTATGAAAAAGGTCCTAATTTGGGACATTATGGATGAAGCCTGAAAGTAAAATTTGTACCTTGCAGCATGGCCACTGTTCCTATCAGGAAGGTATTGTCTATGAAAATGGCCCAAAGTTCTAGCACAGTTTAATGGCTGAGAATTTTCAATGCACAAAATTCAGAAAAATCAAAATTGTGATTCGCAAAAAATACCTCTGGTGTTCACATATACCATGGATATAAAGAAATTAATTCATCAGTATAACGATGTTAGAATTGTGGTTGCGTATTGCTTTTATGATCTAGTCACTTACAGCAGCTCTACAGCTAGATGCATTGTTTTGTGCCTTCAAAACTTAAACTCAGAGTTTATTATGTGTTTGTTTATTACACTTAATTGGCTTAAAATAAGAGCTGTTTATTCTTTTGGAATGACAACTGTACCTCCCTACTATGAATTTCAGGTTATCTGCTTTGAGTATCTGAAAACTCATATATAATTGTAGGTAGTTTCTAGCCTATCGAGTCTTCCACAGAAAGAACACCGAGAACGCTTTTCTTCAAGCATGCAGCCACCATCCCACAATTCATTCTGTTTTCTCATCGACAATGTCAGAGATTAGAGACACTGCAGTGTCTGTAATCAAGTCGAATTGACTTGCCCATGTGATGCAGTATTAGAAACCAACTGTCAAACATCAAAAACATTTCACAACAGGAGCTACTAGCAGAGTTATTTCCAGGGTATGGGAAACACACGATGTGAAGTCTACCTTCCAGTGAACTGTCCCACAGCCATTTGCCTGTGTTTCTTCTGTTTTTTGTTTTGTTGGTTTTTTTTTTATTGGAGACAGCTGGTTTTAGTTCAAAGACACATCATCTGACATACTGTTTGCTAAATATATCAGACTGCTACTTCTATATTAAGAAGCATTTGTGAGCAAGGCCTACAAACTCAAGTGGTTTTAGCAGCAGTGTTATTCCACTAGTTATTTCAAAATCTATCCTTCTAACGAGAAAAGTAAATATTTTCAGTTTCTCCCTATATGTATGCAGATTGCCAGTTTTTGTGGTCCTAGATATTTTGGTATGTTCAGTAAAACACCAAACTAGATAACTTGTGAAAAAATACTAGAAACAATAATTTCCTATTTAGACGTTTTATTTTTTTGCTAAACAATCTGCTATATTTCTCATTGGAAAGATACAGAAAGATTGCAGAGCAAATTGATTTTCAGAGCCGACACTTTTGACTTCTCAGTCTCAACCTCTGTGTTCCCCAAACAGTCCATTTATTCACGTGTGTAATGATTCTCTACTGCCTTTTGGTTTACCTGGCTAGCTTCTTTCATTTGTGAAAAATGTGCCTGAAATGCTATAAAAATCAGAATGCTCCACCTCGCACATGCATAAATGGGCTATTTTAGGAATATTTTACATATTTTAGAAATAGTTTACAAAACCCGTACTTCAGTTTCTGAGGGAGCTCTACTGCGACCAAGATACACAAAGATCAAACTTCTCAGATGCATTATTATTAATAATGAATAGTTTTTATTAAAACAGGAAAGCCTATCTGGCATGTTGCTGTTCTTCCATATGATTTTATTATAGAGCCATGGAAGAAATTCTACTATTCTTTATAAATGTTGCCCAACACATATGTAAATACTGTTCGATATATTACAGGCCAACAAAACTCTCCAGCCTACTCTGCCATCCTATTTTGACACAAATATGTGTGTTATTTTGACAGTTTTTACTCTCAAGTCAGACATAAATAATTTCTTAGGAATCTGAACAATACCTTTGTAGTATAACTTAATAGTCTTTTTTTTTAAGTAACTAAAGAAAACCTTTGCAATCTAGGAATATTTTTGCTTAACTTTTGAAATCCACTGCCAGGCAAGTGTACACCATTACATAGGAGAAGGGATTATTTTATTACACTTCAGCCACCTAAATTTGAAAGATAAGCTAGTGGCATCAACAACAACCACAAAAACCATTAGGGCCAGTTGCTAATACCCAGGCAAAATAAAAACCAGCAAGACACTTGATAATCTGTAATAACAGTTGTCCCTCTCTTTTTTTATTTCACACATTTCTACTGTGATTTTAAAGATGCTAATATTTTCTGGTACTTACATGACACTATGGAACAATGTTCACTCCAGAATTTTCTTACATTCAGCATCTTTCCACTATATTAACATACTTAGATAGCAAGCTCCCTTTCCTTTCAGGCCTGTTGCCCTGTATCTAGAGCAAAAACAGGGCTAGGCATAACAACAAAAAAACCCAAACAAATAAAACCAAGTAAACACACACACCACACCCCCTCTCCATTCTATTACCCTAATCCTTGCCCACCTGGACACCTACTGGACACCACTTTTATGGTGGTAGTGCAGTTTTTTTATGCAATCCCTTTACCAGTCCCATCCGGGCAGTGGTTTTGCCAACTACACAGCCCAGCACAAAAGACATTGCCACCAGCAGAAAGCATGCACAGACTTTACTATCCAATTCCAACAAATACGGTAAAGAATATAATATGGTTAACAGCAGGGAGAATAAGCAGAGTAATAGTAGCTGATGCAACAGAGGAAGGAGTAAGCCAAGCCAGGAATCCAGTAGTGGAGGAGAGAATGAGCCAAATGGAGAGTCCAGTCACAGTCGTACAGAAGCCAGTGCAGTAGCTGCCATATACATTGCTCTTGTCCTGTCTGGCCATTGCTGGGAACTCGCAGCTGCAGCAGCCATAGGGCCCTCCCAGTAACAGGGAAAACTCTACACAGTGCATCTACCCATAGATAAGCTTCCCAAACTCACTGCAAGCAGGACCAGCTCTAATACTTTAACTTCAAAAGCAGGACACCTGGTGTTCTCCTAATTGGTTTTTGTCCCAGGTTGGCCAAGCCCTGAAAGAAAACCAAAAGGAATGTCTCTCCTACTATTTTGGCCTCTGATTATACATCTCTCAAGATAGTGTCCCAGTTGAGAGAGAGAAATCCTCTGCCTGGCTGTGAGAATAATCCATATGTCAACTTTAATTCAGGGCTTGGGGCTTGGCATGTAGCTTAGTGTGCCTGTCTACAAAGCTACACATTATTTCTACAAGTATTTTTTTTTCTCTTTTAGATTCCTGCTCGCTTTTAGAGTCCTGCTGGTTGCATCCTTACCTATTAATAAAGAATACTTGCCTTTTCTATTTCGTATAGCCTCATAAGCCTAAGACTTTAAATACCTTTTTTTCAGGCTCGCACAGTTTCTTCTAACTTTTAACTCAGAGAGCTGGGGCTAGTGGAATTTATCATAAGAATATTATGTTAGAATTAGCAGATCTCTTAAGTCACCAGACTGAACTATACGTTCAGATTTTTAATTCACATCCCTAACTCACTCTCCCACTTCCAAGTTTACGCCTTCTATGATCGCATCTCACCACATGGAAAACAGTCTTTAAAACTTTATTAGTGCTCAGAGCAGGCTTATGTTTTTTATTAAGTGATACTTCTCACTTTGAAAACCAAAGCAAGTCCTGTCTCTATAACAGGGCACTCTGTAACTGACCTGTCTTTAAAAATAATTTTAAAAAATAAATTT